ATCCCAAAGAGCATGCAACTGAAGAGAAAACAGACTATGGGGAAGGGAGAGAGAGAATGCAACAGGATGTTACACCGTTTGGTTATGTTTGGCAGGCAGATTCTAATTCTGCTCATCAGCTCTTCTCTCAAGAAACTCCAAACCTTTTTTATCATTCCATTCTCATGCCTGGAAAAACCTAATCCAAGCTGTGCCCAATCTAGCTTCATTCCCTGCAGTAGCTTTCTCTAAAATACTCTTTGGGGTAGAGACTGTCTTGTCTTGTCTGTAAAGAGCCATTGATACTTCTCTCTGTAGAAAAGACTCCAAATCTTGTGATTAGATGTCAATTTTTCCACTTTCTGAAGTCATTATTGCTGAAGTCATTATAACTTTTTCTGTGTCATTTATCAGAGGGAACTTCCGGGAGACTTAGCAGTTGGTCACCCCTAGGGAAGCTCTTCTTTACATTACTGCATCACATCTACATTAGGGGTTCGCACCAGTTTGATGACATAGCTGTAGTTTCACTTGCGCAAGTTTATCTAATGTGGAGAGGGAATAATTCAATAAAATAGTATCAATGATCTGGAAAAGAGTGAACAATGAGGTGTTACATTAGTTAGGAGAGTTAATTCTAGAGAAGGCTGTGAGGAACATGAGTAGGATCAGGCAAGACTAGATGAGGGGGAAGTATGCAAGTAGATGAAATTAACACAGAATCACTCCTGCTCTGTTAGTCCCTCAAATTGTCAGTTATAGTTTAAAGATTGGAAAATGACGATCTAAAGGACAAAAATGAAAAATGTAAGATTGTACACAGCTAAAGCATAATATCTCAGGATATTTCACGTCTCCCCTTGGTCCTTCCTTTATCTCCTGGCTTTCTTTGCTATCCTATACTATGCTAGGTCTAATGGCTTGAATCTCCAGAGTTCTGAGTGCCCCCAACCACCAAAGGACTCAACTGAAATTGAGGCACTCAGAACCTTCTAGAATTAGCTTAACTTTGTGGTTGTAATTATCAAGCATAGCTACGGGGCTGTAGAAATGATGATAGCTCTTTTAAAAAAACGTATACATTGTAATATAGATTTCCCATCTCCCTGGGCAAATGTGAGTTAAAGTTTTAAGAGAAAGTTTGCCCCAGTTTGGTGCCAACTACCAGGGGAGAAAGGCTAGCCAAAAGTAGCAAGTATTCAGTTAGTGAGTCTCTGCTGTTACCTAATGGAACTTGCAGAAGGAAATGCTTCTCGGACAGCCATTCAAACCTGGGCAGGTACAAATCCAAAAACCATCACACAAGGAGTTGAGCTTTCTAGCCAACTGGAATCAGAGATCCACAGACTATTAAGAATATCCATTATACCAGGCCTCTACACCACTATAACAACACTTTTTTGTACCAATGGGCCTACCAAGAAAAGTTTATTTTCCCATAGGCTGTGTGTAAAAAGCACTCCTTTTTACTGTGAGTGAGAAAAAGAGACACACACACACACCCAATCACAGTGTACAGTAGTTGCTACTACTTCCTTAAGATACAAAGACACATTTTTTTGGTGCAACATAGCTAGCATCACAACACAGGACTGAAGAAAAGTGTGTCTCAGCAGGCTCTCAAGTGAGCCCATTCTCACAGCTAGGCAACAAGAGCTATTTGTATGGTACAACAACATATAATCACAAGTGAGGCACTCCAAAAGAGTACAAACACTTAATTTTCACTTCAGCAAGAAACAGCCCTCACTGCACAAGTCAAAATAGATGTTTCTCAGACATGTAGGATTCATAATGGAAATTTCCAGAGCAAGTGATTTATTTAAAGCCACCTGGAGACAGCGAGTCCCTTCACAAGAGGAAACAGAGAATTTAGGTTGACAGAGTTACGCTTTTATCGTTCAGACATTTCCCCCGTTAAAATGATTTAAGGTTAGTTCCGAACTTGCTGTGAAAGAGAAAATTTAGAAATGTGACAAATGAAAAATAATAAACCCCTTTGGAAATAATGACGCAGATCCAATATAGGCCTATATCAATAGCTTATGAGACTACATCCACCACAGTTTTTAAGAGAGCTAGTTTGTATTTTTCCTCCAGAGGTTTTACTTCTGTTTCTTGAATTTGAACACGTGAGGCCAAGTCCTGGACTTCCTATACCCACACAAGTAGTCACACTAAGTCAATGAGATTAATTTCACCCCTGAGGTATCTTTTAATGCAGTGGTTCTCAAACTTGGGCCGCCGCTTGTTCAGGGAAAGCCCCGGTGGGCCAGGCTGGTTTGTTTACCTGCCGCGTCCGCAGGTTCGGCCGATCGAGGCTCCCACTGGCCGTAGTTCACCGCTCCAGGCCAATAGGGGCTGCAGGAAGTGGTGCGGGTCGAGGGATGTGCTGGCAACCCTTCCTGCAGCTCCCGTTGGTCTGGAGTGGCAAACCGCGGCCAGTGGGAGCCGCAATCGGCCGAACCTGCGGACGCATAGGTAAACCAACTGGCCTGGCCCACCGAGGCTTTCCCTGAACAAGCGGCGGCCCAAGTTTGAGAACCACTGTCTTAATGTACTTGGGTCCTTTTCCGGATTTTTTTTGGGTTAGCGATTCAGACACTAGCAACATCATCATATTGTCATATTTCCAAACTCTCTTGCAAAGGAAAAAAATAGTTCAGTCAAGTCTCAACCCTGGAGGAACACAAGACTTATCTACATTTTCACAATGGGCGCAAGCCAGGCACCACTGAAATCAATGGGAGCTTGGGCCTGGCTTCAACAAAGACGTTTTTCAAAATTAAAAAAAAACAACCAAAAATAAAAGCGGAGCAGGGGCTTGGAAAATGGAGATAACCTGCTGAGCTAATGAGGTCTTGGAATAGATGGGGGGAGCACCTTGTATTGCTGAATAAGAGTCACAAAGGCGTATATACAAGCGATGTCACTGGTTTGAATTAAGCCCAGCTCAGTGACAAGCAAAATGCTTAACATCTGCTGTCTGGTGGTAGGAATAAAAGGTGTGGGTGACCTCAATCCAGATGTGTACATCAGAAAAATCAGCAGAGAGAGAAAAGACCTTGTGATTGGGCCACCAAAAAGTTATTTTTCCTGTCTACAAAAGGACACCAATTCTACACCCTACGTGACGTGTTCCTTGCCTACGGCACGGCTTTGTCTATACTAGCACATTTCATAACCATAAATCACCCCAGAAGAGCTCCACTGAAGCTAGTAATGGTGGAACTGAAGCTGAAGGGTAGACAAGACCCATTCATTGTCATCACTGTCATCCAACTCCTCTCAGGGTGGTGATTTATGGCTATGAAGTTTGCTAGTGCTGGCACAGCACAATTTGGCCTTAGCACATGGAAGTGTCTTCTACTTTTCGTCCTCTCTTCCTTGCTCTCTCCCACTTTCTCTAGCTACTCGTACCCTTCAAATAGCTCAACAAATCAGAATATCTAACAAATAGGACTGGATTTTCAGAAACAGCCTCCATTTTGTGCCTACAAATAAATGCAGGTGCATTTTATAGCATTTAATCTCCACTTGATGAGGCCTGCAAACCAGATAGAGATCTGTGGGCTGAAAAATGCCCCCACGATTATTTTCACTACAAAAATCAGACCTGCAGTTACATGCGGGCATAAAACCAAAGGCCTAGTTGAAGCCTTGAGAAAACTGGATAAAAATGGTCACTAGAGAGTGATATTTTATCTCTTTGTATTAATTTCAGTTTTATTTTCATGTGCGTTATATTGTTTATTTTTCTGATACTTCAAGAGGGAACATGATGGTTAGATGGACGGGGTGGTTACTGCACCTGGACTTTTCATTTCTTAAAATTTTTTTTTGGAGAAAATAAAATATGTCTCAGATCTTATGAGACCCCTAGGGATTGAGATAACAGGAGATCTTCTGTCCTAGTTCCCTTATATAAAATAAGGGGCATACATTTTGCTGGAAATTCTATTTTATGCAGATATAAGGTGTATGTGCCATGTAGATGTGTCAGAAAAAACGGAAGTAATTCTCTAGCATTTATTTTTCATAACGTAGGCAACTGTATTAAGGCGTTGGAATCCTGGATGTTATTTGTGACTCTCCATCCCATCTGCTAGGGGGGAAAACAGAGAATCCTTAAAATGAATTGTTCACTGCAGTTGAAAAATATATTGACGGCCCATAATAGGAAACAATTCCATGTTAAATTAAAAGCTTACAGGGCAAAGTGGGAACAGAGGTTTTTTTTAAATCAGTATAAATAGATGCAAGTGCTGGTACGATCGTCTCTTAAACCATTCACATATTACTAACCCTGGCCTAATCTAGTTCCAAGTGGGAGGAACAAGCTATCATGTTATCAATGCAATTTAAGTCTCCATTCATCCATGTGAAATTAGTACAAAATATGAGCATATTATTAGTACTATATAACAATCACTGTAATAAAATATTAACATACAGAATTAACATGGAGGAAAGATATACTACAAACAGATTCTATGAACTGGGCTATAGGACCATGAAATGGTTAAAATACAAGTATGAATATTTTATTGTTCTCTTATTAACCAGCAAGTATTAAATTGGAAAAAAAAACTTTGACATAAAGATATCCTAAACTACTTTATCTGTAATGTGCACTGTTAATCTTAAGAGGTTGCTGTTCAGGTCCAAAAAATGTCATATATATAAATTAAATTATTTCCATAAATTATTTACAGCCGATTTCTCTCTTCACCTATGTGGATTCCAGGAAGTGGATGCATTTTTTTTAGATTAATACGGAATGAATCATGATTCACTAGGGACCTGGTCCTGACAAAGCCCCATGAGTATAAGCAATTCACAAAATTTAATGGTCTGTGATATACAAGTCGGTCTAAATGATCTAATGGTCCCTTCAGCCTTAAACTGTAGGAATCTATGACCTCACCTATGTCTGATTATTACACACTGGCCATGTGGCTGTCCTCAGAAGTAAATTCAATTTCTGGTTTACAGATGGGGTGTATGATCAAGATAGCAACTTTCAACTGTGTTGGAAGGTAAGAATAGAAAATACTCTAAGTAATAAAAAGCGGCTGTATCTAGGAAGGCTTAAAGTGACAGTGCATGCATTTAAAAGGATATGTTAGAACACACTTTTCTAAAATAACAAAACACTTCAAAGCCTGACAAACTAACAGACGAGTTTACACTAACTCTGAACTTTCCAGGGTTAACTGTGCTCATGTTGAGAAAGAGAGAGAGAGAGAGAGAGAGAACACGAACGAGAACTACTTTGAATACAGTTGTATACTGTAGCGTGAAGTGTGGTCATACGCTGCATCTGCACATCCAGACACAGGGACGAGGAATATACACTATAGGTCTGAAGCACTGAATAAATAAAAAGGAAATAACCTTCCTTGGCTCTTTTCCAGCTGTAAAAAAGCGCACTCATTTATTTCCTTGTTTTCAATCACTGGAGCTGGATGCACTGGAATGAGTCAATCAACAAACAACGATAGCAGCAGACAGCAAGCTTTGCTAACGAACGCAGCGAAAACTGCACACAGAATGAGATGCAGGAGAAGAACTGTGAAACACCCAAGAGACAGGCATTAAACACGTAAGTCAGATCCCCAAAAGAACAGGAGAAGCAGAAAAACAACAACTTACTTTTTTTTTTTAAACAATGTGGCAAGAATTATTTTCCCCCTCCATTCAATACCAGTTGGAGAAAATACATACATGAAGAACTTGACTTTAAAAACAGAAGAAGTTCAATCTTGACGTTTAAAAACAAATGGGAAGGTATGGACAAAGGTTTTTATTTTAAGCATATCCCAAAGGAATAAAAAACTTGTCTTCTAGAAAGTGACGTTAAAAAATTATGTGCTGAAATCCAGCACGTGATGAAAAAGAAGATCAAACTGCAGAAGAAATTTATCCCTCTCAAACCCTCAGGGAAACAAAATCCAAGAGAAATCTAAGGTAAGGCTTTCTTCACAGAAAACCTACAACAAACCAAATCTAGAAAATATTTGAACATATGGCTATTTAAAGTGTCTGCTTGTAAGAGGGAAAAGCAAGTGTTAAGACTTCAGCAGAGTTTAGAGCTAGGGGAGGCTGCGTTTAGTTATAGTCTTGCTCAAGCCTTAAAGAAAGTGAGCTCCAAACAGTGAGGATTTTACTTGTCCTTCCCATTTAAATAATGGATAACTTTAAGATGTTTGAGTTCCATAATTGTCTATGACTCTCTTGAGATGTAGTCACGAATGTTTTACTGTTAGCTGCGCTCCGACCTTCATCTGATAAACGAGGGACTGTAGCCATTAAAGAAAACTTCTATATCATTCACAACCATGTTCTGGGGGATGATAGCTCCTTGGGGAAACAGGTTTCTTAACAGGGAAAATATAGGTACTGTACTCTGCCTACATGCATGCTAATGTAGACTAGACACTCGGAGGAGGAGTTGTACATACACAGTACAAGCATCAGTTTTTTGCACTTTGTAAATAAAAAAATGATGCAATCTACATATTTTGTATATAGGGGGAACCTTTCGGCATGCAAGTTCACACACCATATTTCCTGCTGTAGGAAGACACAAGAAGCTAAAAACTGTCGACTTCTCACAGCCATTGAATTCTCTCCTAAACCCTTCTGAAACCTAAGCTTCTCTACAAGAGTAATCAGACCACTTGACCCTGCCAGCCAGAGTCAATACTTTCATTTTTAAGAGGTACGTTCATCCAGGAAGGAACGGAATACAAGTTTAGATCCAACGCCCTGGCATGGGTGCAGCATATCACAGCATCAGATGACCGGTTTACCTTACTGACCATGCTGGCCTTTCTTCAGGATCGTACCGGACCAGAGAGGAACAGCCAGCTGCTATACCTTACAAAATGTCTGAGCAAAACACAATTCCTGAATACATCCTGCTGGGCACAAAGATGTCCTATCCCTTAAACGGGTATGGATCTGGCAACGGATCTTTGACACAGCTCTCAGTAACAGGGGAATTCAAACAGAACTACCTGAATGACGAACAGGGGAATAGACCACGGTGGGCAGCTCTGCTGATCCTAATGGTGATCATCCCCACCATCGGGGGGAACATACTTGTTATACTAGCTGTGTCCCTGGAGAAAAAGTTGCAATATGCCACAAATTATTTCCTAATGTCCTTGGCGGTGGCAGACTTGCTGGTTGGATTGTTTGTGATGCCGATTGCCCTTATCATCATACTGTTTGGTAAGTATTTCACTTTGTTCCTGCCATCAAGCGTCCGTAATGAAGCAAATATGCTAACTATACTTTAAATAGGACAACTGCTTGTTTACTTCCCCCGCTTAATTGTGATAATGTTATTTTCTGTGAGCACCATCTGGCTAAACACTTCTCAATTCCCCCTACCTCTAATCATAAGATACATTTTCTCAAGACACAAGCTTAAACAAATCTACTATGAACATCCTTTCCCTTGCCTCCCACCCTTTATCAGAGAAACTAACAACTCCAAAGAATTTTACACCTCTGAGGAGCAACTACAGATACCACACTCTGGAAAAAAGGTATAGGGTGAATTATTATTGGCAGTGCAATGTTGAACATCTGCTCATTAGATATTATATTCATAATAGAAATTCTCTCTCTCAAAAGCACTAAGCAGTTTGGGATAGTTTCATTGGACTGAATAGCTTTTCACCACATCACAAGGAGTTGGTACCACTCAATGAGGACAATTTTCGGTCTCATTTATATAACCCAGGTGCAAGTTTCAGGCAATCTCTAGGATCACTGATGGCAACAATTCTAAGGTGTCACTTGCAGGAAAACTGATTTTTCAACTGCCCTAGGGAAATGGCAAAATTCACAATGCACTCCAAAGAGAGATGGTCCATCTGTCCACCTAGTCCAATATCAGACCATCTGTGCACCTGATGTAGGAGATCCAGGTTGCCATTTACTGACTCATGAGGAATAAAACAGATTTTGATGAGATTATACACTGGAGTTTGACATTTACTTGTTTATTCCATAATGACTAACAAAAACATTCATATTTTCAGGGACCTAATATTTAAAATGTTGTATTTATACCTAATTTGGTAACAACTTCATGGGAAATTTTCTGAATGGTTTCTCTTTTGTTGTTTAAAGTTGCTTAAAATTTTTTTTTTAGTTGTAATTTTTTTTATACATCCGAATATATGCCAAATAGATGATTAAGAGCTACAGCGATAGTCTGTCTATTTTTGCAAGTAAACCCCATGCAATACCCCCATGCTGGTAACTCAACCTTTGAGGTAAAGTGTACCACTGACCCATAACTAATGATAGACAGCAGGAGTTCTGTGTTTTTATATTAAAACTCTAAGGGTTGCCTTGGGGATAGCAGACACAAATTTAAAGTATTAAACGCATAGAGGCAATCAGCAGACCTACCGCTCCACAAACGACTGCTGTCAATTTGGTGACAATTTCTTTCAAGTCATAAAAATGCCTCACGATTAGTTTCCAGTATAAAGTGTTACTCAATATATGGAGATGTCAAACTGACTACAGAACAGTCAACACAGTAAGGATAAGGGGCATGTTCTTTTCAAGCAACAGTTTCTAGAAAATGACTAAGCATAATTAGGGTACAATTTTCTAATTGGGTAGGGAAAAAATCTGTCTCAAAATGTACACAAACTTCAAGATCTTAATATAAAATTTTCATAGTTTTCCTTAAAAAAAAACAAAAAACAAAAAAAACAAAAAAACCCCGCTCAAATAAGACTAATCCCCTTTCCCAATACCTCATTTACAGAACAGAAGACAGTGTAAGAAATACAGGCTGAAAGATGACATCTTAGAGAATCAGAAAATTATTAATAAATCATCATAAATAATCAGCCAAATCCGAATAGCAGCCAATACAATGAGAAGCTAAACTTTATCTTTCTGAATTTCATTAGTCTCCCAATAACCGATTTTGCCTTTCTAATTTTCCTACTTTTTCTTTTATTGCTACTTAATCTCTCAATTAATCTGGAGCTAAAGCTGTTGTAACCAAGGTTAAAACATGCTAGGAATCTTAATTTAGAATTCAACAAAAGCATCTTTCATGCTGCAGGAAGTTTTAAAGAAAAAAGTAAAATTAAAAATAATTAAATAGGTGTGGTAAGGCCATGGCAGACGTTTCACATAACTGACCAATGCTAAACATTGAAATTACTTCTATAAAGTGTCTCCTTGGCAGCCAAATAGAAAAACATTTTGCCTCCTCAGCAGTTGGTGGAAGATGCTGAGGTGTTTATAGAAAGTTCAGAACAGGAGCAAAATGTTAGGGGTTGTTGGACTGGAACAAGATGATTAAGCACATAAGACTACAGGATCGAAGGTTTGTTAACCAGATAACTATTTGAACAACAGAGAATAACCACTGACAGAGGCAGCCAATTAAAATCTACCCTTCCCATGTTTTCAGACAAGAACATTTTCATAATAGTGAAATAAACATGTGCCAGCTATTGATACAGAATACAAATATTTTGTCTCTGATTTGTCACTTATATCTAATTATATGGCAGATCTGTGGGGAAAGGTGTGAACTATTTAAATCCAGCAGCATCAATCACTTTAATCTTTGCTGGTAACATGCAACAGTATGTTTAAACTTAAAATCCACTACAAAGACTGACTCCACTCAGCAAATACTTACAAAAGCTAACACCAATAAATTTAACTGTTCCAGTAATAGAGGCTCATTTTCCACATTTGACCTGTAACAACTTCACTACTATAGTGGCGTTCTTAAATGAAATCATATAAACTTCAGAGTGAGTGACTGAACCGTATTTCAACACTGATTGAATGCATCTGGTGGCTTTAATTTAAAAAAAAAGCTTTAAAATGTCAGAATGTGTGAACTGTTCATTGTTTTTATTAACAGCTAAACTGTTGGCACTGCTTTCATTAACAGGTTAGCATGTTAGTAAATTGAAGCGTGTTCTGAAAATTAGCCTTGTGTTGTCTCCATTAATAATATTTGAAACCACTGGCTGTAGCCCACAAAAGCTTATGCCCTAATAAATTTATTAGTCTCTAAGGTGCCACAAGGACTCCTCGTGCAAATGGAATCAACAAATTTGTGGGAGGGGGGACAAGAGAATCATAGGGTTTCAAGAGACCACAAATGTCAGCTAAGGGTATGACTACACTTGCAGCTGTAGAGCGCTTTAAGTTAAACCGGCCTTCGTAGATGCAGGATTTGTTGTGTAAAGATCCATCTCTTTTCTATGAAGTTTGAGGCTGGAAGCTCAGTACCTGAGATTTTAGGGAGAGCTGGTTGAGAGTAAATAGAGATTTTCCTTAAAAAAAACAACACAGAGTATTCCTAGTGTTGATATTTTGTGCCCTGGAAATATATCCTTTAAATAAAATAAAAGGTCATGTTGATTTTCTGAGCAGTAAACTATTATAATGTCCATCACCCAAGAAAACTGGGAATCTCAAGCTCTCTCATGCCAGTTATAGTTAGGTTACATTGCAAATCATTCACCTTTCATTCATTTATGGGACTATAGTGAAGATAGAAAGTAAACAATTGTGAAAAGGCTCTAGAAATATCACCAGAAGAAATCAAACCAACTTCATGGATGGCTGACTATTTTCAAAATCCGCAAGACTGAAGGAAACTAAAAAAGTTTCAGGACAAATTTAATAAAAAGCATCTTTAGTTAACTATAAAATAAAGGTACTTTGGTAAATAACTTCTCCCCAACTACTATTTTAGTTGTATTAATCAAGAAAATTGAATGGAACCATACAAGCTGAATACCAAAATCATTGAAGGCCCCGTCATCAAGTATTGTCATCAGGATAAACCCTACTTGAGAGGCTACACACGCAGTAACTTGTAAAATAAAGCCTGAGCTTACATGAAAATGAAAAAAAGTCAAACTTCCACCTCAATAAAAAACCTTACATCAACAAAATGACTCAATGAAATCCCTTACAGGCAACAAATTTCAATAGACTACAGAGCACATTACAACAAAGGTGAAATAATAATTTCCAACACTTATGTGAAGGACTTCCTTAATCTCACTGACATGAATACATAATTAGTGCCTTCTAATCATAAGCATTCAAAGAATGTTTCACTGGCTTAAATCAGGAGCAGCTCCTCTATACTGTATCTAGTTTTAAAGATTACCTTGAAAACTGATATTCCCTATAAAGCTTTCCTCCTCATTTCAGTAAATCAAAGCCAGAAATTGTCTGTAAAAACCCATCGTTTACTCAAGACAAACCAAAAAAACCCAACATTGGAGCTCCAAATCAGGAATATCTTATTAAGAAAAACACAAGTAATTGGGACATTTAAAAATCTACATATCTTTAAAAAAAAAAAAATCAACATTCCTATTACCAACAGGCAGCGTTACAGAGTAAGTTTTAAACACAAAAGTAATTATTTGCCCCAAACAAAAGAAACATTTGTGATGGGAGAAATCACTATTTAATATAATAATAATAATATATGGAAATATACCTATCTCATAGAACTGGAAGGGACCCCGAAAGGTCATAGAGTCCAGCCCCCTGCCTTCACTAGCAGGATCAAGTACCGTCCCTCACAGATTATTTTGCCCCAGATCCCTAAATGGCCCCCTCAAGGATTGAACTCACAACCCTGGGTTTAGCCGGCCAATGCTCAAACCACTGGGCTATCCCTCCCAAACTAAATCCACCCTGTTAAAAACTTTGCCTCCCTACTCCATTATTTCATGTATTTGAGTTTTACTGTCCAACCAGATTTTATGAATATTTACACACAGGGCCAAGACATTTATTCAACAGGTTGCTATAATGTTCAAGGATCAAAAACTGCTCTTCAAGCATTTGAGGAAGGCTGTCTCTACGTTTCCCCTCCCAATCCCCAAGTTTCAGACATATCTGAAATGACAATTCAGAGATAGAAAACTTCTACTGTGTACCGGAAGATGTGGAGATCATGAAAACACAACTATTAAATATATTTTTGGAAGGCAGAGATGTATTTTTAACAAATATTTTTCTTCAAGACCTTTGTCTTACACATCTGCCAGTCTTGGTCTGGATTCTATAAAGAGCAATTTGCCCCAAAACGGCAGAGAATCATGTAGGGTTTTTGTTTTATACACTAGGATTGTTTGTACGTATCTAATGTTACAAGATACAGAGGGTAGAACCCGTGCCCACTGATTTCAGTGATGGCAGGATCAGGTAACTGAAAGGGCCCTGTTGGCAGTGCCAGATTGGGAAGCAACATTAGCACCCAGACCAACAAGACCAGCAAAGCAGAGAGCATAGCCAAACTCTCATTTGAGAGGTACTCACTGAGTGGTACTCAAATACTCATTTCACAGCATTTATTTTTTATTACACTTATTTACAAATAAGTCAACAAGATTAGGGAATACAGCAAGAGATGCCATGTTATTAACCTAGCACAGGGGTTCTCAATCAGGACTATACTTACCCCTGGGGGTATGCAGAGGGGTACATCAACTCATCTAGATAATTGCCTAGTTTTACAACAAGCTACATAAAAAGCCCTAGTGAAGTCAGTACAAACTAAAATTTCGTACGGACACAATGAGAAAGTAAGCAATATTTCAGTAATGTGCTGTGACACTTTTGTAGTTCTATGTCTGATTTTGTAAGTAAGTAGTTTTTAAGTGAGGTGAAACTTGGGGTATGCAAGACAAATCAGACTCATGAAAGAGGTTCAGTAGTATGGAAAGGTTGAGAACCACGATCATATTGAGCAATTCTTCATACAGAGCTACAGAAGTGACCGTGTTAAAATTGTAATTTTGTTTCAAACGAAGATTTAGGGTGACTATATCCCTTGTTTCTCATCAACTACTGTATTCAAAGGCTCTGGAGTAATTTTTGATGGAAAAACCATATCTTACACAAGTTCATAATGTGAAAGGCTGCTACTCCTCTCCTCCCTGTTTCAAAGAAAAATATAAACAGAAAAAGGTTTCTACATTTACATTGTGGTCAGCAATTACTAAAAGCTTTTCAGATCTTGTAAAATTATACAAGGCTTCATTGCATACAAAAAACTTGAGTTCAGAACAAGGAAAGGACAGCTCCATTACCAAGCATTAAATGGTGTCTTTTGTACAGAACAGGTTAACAGAAAATGAAGAAAATCCATTTTACTGCAATGCACATGTCCCCTCTCTGCAAGGCTACCATCTAAGAGATACCATCTAAGGAGTACTGTATAAGGACTTTTGATAGGAAACACTGAATCATTCATTTGAAATTCAGCTATTAATGCCAACTGAACATCCTTTAGTATGCAAAATGTACACGTTTGCAGTTCACACCTCATCCTCAGAGCTGTGCTAACTTCACTTATTTAAGCCATAAAACAGTTCTTGCCTTTTTAGAGAAAAGCTCAACATTCCAAACATACCAAATTAATTGGTTGTTTTAACTACTTATTTTTTCTGGCATGCTGACTTACATAGTTGGTTGAATGACTACATTACAGGCCTTTGAGGCTAAAAAAGATACCTCTTACGGCCTAATGAAATTGTGCACAGAAAGATAAAAGTGAATTTGTGTGTGTTGAATGCTCTAATCATGTATTTTTCCATATATCTGCACCCTACTTCATTAATCAACTTCAAATTATTTTCTGTAACTAAGTTTCCACTCTGCCTGATACTCAGGAATCATGCAACTGAATATCAAGACTCGTGGTTAGTTTATTCAAAAGTAGTTAATCTTTTTCTGTTATGCCTGAGGTGCTATCCGTTATGCTTTTTCCGTTACGCTATCACCTGGAGCTCGCTGCTTTAGGAGAGGTGCAGTCATATTCTCAAATCTCCATCCATTTCTCTCCTCGTCCAGATGGCTAAGACTCAACATATACATCAGGGCAGACCAGCATAATTTAGCCTGCTTCAATGCAATTTCCCCATTCTCCCTTGCTTGAAACACAAAAGTTACTGCACCACCATGTCATTTCACCACAATAATGTCAGCGTGAAATCAAGCTTCAAATCTTAAAATTGCTGCAACATTGCACTATTGACACAATAACGGACTCAGTTACTAGATGAGTTCCTTTAACGTTCTCAGAACAGTCAGTCCTTATTTATTCACAGCAGAGGGTTCAAAACTAAATAGGTTTAAAACAAATCTGACTTGTTAGCACACAAAAACTCATCATTCTACAAAGAGCTGATAATTTTCTGGTAGTACCTTAACTGCACCTACAAATCAATATGTTCATACCCATACAGAACACTAACGCGCCTTTTAAATGCAACAGCCACCCAACAGCTGTGGCTTGTGACACAAATCACTTGTAAGTGACATCAATTAGTTTATGAAAAACCTCAAAAGAGCTTCATTAATGTCCATTTGCTGATGTTCAGCAGAGTAAATATTTATGAGATCTTCACTAGGGAAGACACAGCTCTCAAATACCAACCCTTTGGAAGGTGAAAACAATACAAAGTGAATGTCCCAATCCTGAACAGAAAGCAGCTGATGGACTATTTTACTTGTTACACAGATAACATTAAAGCAGATTAGCTCTAGTAAAAAATTACAACTTTTAAGACTGTGTGTAGAAGCCTGAACTATTGCTCTTGAAAATGAGGTGAAGGGGAATCAGGCAATTTCTTTTGAATAAAAATAGATATCCACTCACTGATGGCAGCGTCCCGCTGAGCCGTCACAGATATGATGCAGTGACACAACAAACCCTTTCATTACAAAACTGTATGCACTAGAAAGATTGTTCAAGACATCCCCAGTCCTGGAACTTAAGCCATGCCTCTGCATCGCTATGATAGACAAGTCACTGCTTATTTTCTCCTTTGTTAAATATACCTCTAATCCAGTGGACTTTATGGAGACGGTACACGTGAAATACAATCAATATGGTTTGTTATTAATCATGCTTATTACAATAGTATCTGGGGACCAACCAAGATCAGGGCACCCTATTGGGCTAGGCACTGTACAAAGCTGTAGACCAGAGGTGGGAAACTGCGGCCCGCGGGACCCTCCTGCCCGACCCCAGCGCTCCTGGACCAGGAGGCTAGCCCCCTGCCTTTCCCTGCAGCCTCAGCTCACTGCGCCGCCGGTGCAATGCTCTGGGCAGCCGGGCAGCGCACCTACAGAGCCGCGGCCTGACCCGGTGCTCTGGGTGGCGCAGCTGTAGCGACGCCTGCCACCGGTGCTCCAGGCAGCGCGGTAAGAGGGCAGGGGAGTTCGGGGGGCGGGGTGGTCAGAGGGCAGGGAACAGGGGTGGTTGAATGGGGGGCAGGAGTCCCGGGGAGGGCAGTCAGGAAGGTGGGGGGGGGCTTAGATGGGGGTGTAAATGAATATAATATACAAGACATCAATGTGATGGCAGCAAGCATTAGTTCCACCATTTTCTGCAGGGGAATTTGGCGGTGTGTGTGTGTGTGGGGGGGGGGGAGAACCATATGAGGGATTAGCTAAAGAGAAAAACAAGGGAGGGAAGGAAGGAGAGGAGAGAAAGGTCTGAGGGCAGGTATGGAGTGGGGTATTGTCCCAAAGAGTTTATTAAGACACTTCTATGACATGTATGAAGGAAAAAATGCACACTGAACACTCAAAGGACATTAGAAATGAACCTAATAGCTTTCCTGTTCTCTTTCAGATAACGCATGGCCGCTTCCACCTGACTTGTGCCCTGTCTGGCTATTTCTTGATGTCCTCTTTTCCACAGCATCCATTATGCATCTCTGCGCCATCTCACTGGACCGCTATATTGCCATAAAAAAGCCAATCCAGGCCAGTCAATACAACTCTCGGGCTACCGCTCTCATCAAAATAACTGTGGTGTGGCTCATTTCAATAGGTACGTGGGGCTTCTGAGACTGGGAAGGGGAGAGAAACCCTTTCACGGCTAAATCATTAGCTCAAAACTGGGGCACAACTGCAAATGGCAAAGTACGAGCGGATGGCAGCCTATATCAACTGAGCTGATCTCGGTCCACTTCCTAGTGAGCAGGTGGCTATGTCACAAAATCCATTTAACAGGTACTAGCTGGCAGACTTATTGCAGAGGTTAAGGACTGAATAGGAATGAAGTTCAAAGATTTTTTCCCACCCATAGAAGGATGCAACACACTAAGGGGCGGCATGGATTGCATTGCAGCTGCTTGTGTGGTATCTTTTCTAGAGATGCGAGTCTTTAGGTTCCAATGCCGTCAATTTGATGCCTATCAGTAACAGTTTTGATTTTAAGCCCTGAATCAGTTGCTGTTGAAATTGCTGCCTCACTTAAAACTACCCAAAGAGAAAAAACTGGACAATAGGGTTGAGAATTTTATTTTAATGCTGTACAGAAAGAGGGATGACTATGTCAAAATTTCATCTTTCAATCACGGATTCAAATAACAGGTTTCAGGGTAGCAGCCGTGTTAGTCTGTATCCTCAAAAAGAACAGGAGTACTTGTGTCACCTTAAATTTGTTAGTCTCTAAGGTGCCACAAGTACTCCTGTTCTTTTTGAGGATTCAAATAAGTGAGCTGTGCCAGTAACATTCATTTCAGAAATTAAGGTGTGCTGCCAAGATACAAAAAGTCAAAGTGTTAAAAAAAAAAAATCAATTTATAAGTGAAGTGCAAAATGTAACGGTTTATATCAGTGGTTTCAACCAGGGGCCCGCAAGCAGGTTTAAGGGGGGGGGGGTCGCCAAACAGGACCAGCGTTAGACTTGCTGGGGCCCAAGGGGAGAAAGCTGAAGG